ACAGATGGCTGGCGATAGCAGTTTTCCGACAGACCATGGAGGGCAGCTTCTTTGGTGAGGTGGATGGTGCTGGCGTTGTCGCACCAGAGGGTGGGACAGGGCTGTGGTGAGCCAAGGTCTGTGAGGAGATAACTGAGACAGCGTGCTTCCTGTGCTGCCATCGTGACCGCGTACAGTTCGGCCTCGTAGGAGGAGAGGGCGATGGCGGAGGAGCGGGTGGAGCGCCAGCTGATGAGGCCGCTCCCAAGGGAGAAACCATATCCCTGTAAGCTGCGACGGTCAGGCTGTGAGTCTGCCCAGGACGAGTCGCTGAAGCCAGTGAGAACCGGCAGGTGTGCTCCACCAAGGGTGAGGGTGTAATCCTTCGTGTGCTGAAGGTAGCGTAGGACACGCCGGGCTGCCGTCATATGTTCCTCCGTGTGCCTGCCGACACCAACGAACTGCGCCAGAACACTGACTGGGCAGGCAAGGTCGGGGCAGGTGCAGACCATGGCGTACATCAGGGCCTCAACAAGCTCTGCATAGGGGTTCGAGGAGTCGGTCGGGGTGGCAGGGGGCGAGAGCTGGTGCCCAACTGCAAGCGGGGGGGGAGGGGAGTACCGGTGAGGGCGAGGAGGGAGGGGAGGGCAGTCTGTGGGGGACCAAGGATGGGGGCTAGGGAGCGGGTATGGGGATAATGGGGGAGGACAAGGGTAGGGGAGGGGCGCCGGGAAAGGGGGGGGGGGGGGGGGGGGGGGGGGGGGGGTTAGGGAGGGGAGGGGGAAGGAGGGAGGGGGGGGGGGTGAGGAGGGGGGGAGGGGGGCGGGGGAGGGTAGGAGGAGGGAGGAGGAGGAGGAGGGAGGTGAGTTGCAGCGGAAGGTGAGGGGGGGGGGGGGGGGGGGGGGGGGGTGGGTAAGGTGTCCCCAGAGAGCTGGGGGAGGGGGGGGGGGGGGGGTGGAGGAGGGGGGGAGGGGTCATGGCAGGGGACGAGAGGAGGGGCAGGGTGTTAGTCCAGAGAAGGGGCCGGGGAAATGGGGGAAGGGGGTTAGGGGCGGAGGGGGAGGTGTAGTACGGGGTGGCCCCGTCAAAGACCACGTCCCGACTACGGATGAGGCGGCCCGAGGGGGGGTGGAGGAAAAGGTAGTCAGGTGAGTTGGTGTTGTGTCCAAGGTAGACACAGGGGAGAGTGCGGGACGCAAGCTTTCCACGTGCGCGTGGGCGGTCGGCAGGGTGTATGAGGACATACGCCTTCCAACCCCACACGCTCAGAGGAGATATGTCAGGCTTGCTGGAGGTCCATAGTTCGGTGGGCGTGGAGGTGGGACGGGAGGGGTGGGGGTAGAGGTTAGTGAGGATGGTGGCGTGAAGGATGGCATAGCCCCAAAGAGAAGGTGGCCAGCAGGAGTGAACGAGGAGGCACCGAGCAGTTTTGGTGATCTCCCGAACGCGGCTCTCCGCCACACCATTCTGCTGAGGGGAGTGAGGGAGAGTGTAGGTGTGGAGGATGCCGTGAGAGGTGCAGTAGGAAGACATGGTGCGGTTGAGGAACTCACCGAAGCGGTTGAGGAACTCATCGAAATGGAAGCGGCGAACAGGGCGACCGAAGTGGTTGCGTGCTTGTTAAGCCCAGGCAGTGATGGCAGCCGGGGCCTCCGCCTTCGTACGAAGGAGGGTGACAGAGGAGTATCGACTGTGATCATCTAACAGGATGAGGAGGTAGCGATGTCCTTGCCTGGTGGGGGAAGAGTTAGGGCCCCAAAGGTCCATGTGGACGAGGTTAAGGGGTTGGAGGGAAAAAGAGGGGTTACTCGTATGTGGTTGTTGCTTCAGCTTGCTTTCAACACAAACTGAGCAAGGAGGGGAGGGGGAAGGAGGGAGGGGGGGAAGGGTGAGGGGGAGGCCGTCAAGGAGTTTAGTGAGGATGGATCGGGGAAGGGTGGCAAAGTTGGGTTGGCCTAGGCGATGGTGGAGGAGAATGGTGGGTGTGTGAGATCACGACAGTGACATGGGGAGGGTGGGTTAGATGGGGGGGGAGGAAGGGGAGGGGATGGGCGAGGGGATTGGGAGGGGGAGGGGAAGGGGCGAGGGAGGGGGAGGGGGAGGGGGAGGGGAAGGGGGAGGGGGAGGGGAGGAGGGGGTTCGAGAGGAGGGGAAGGGGCGAGGGGATGGGGTGTGGAGAGTTGGTGAAGGGGATGCGGAAGATGTACATGTGGGTGGAGGGGCACCGATGGACACGGCAGAAGAAGCGACCGGACGAGGTGTTAAATAAGTCACAATATGCTGCGTGACCAGGGAATATGGCGGTGACACCTGCCGTTGAGAGGGCACCAAGGGATACCAGGTTGTTACGAAGGGAGGGAAAATAGAGACCTGTGACGGTACCTGAGGGAAAGAGGGGACAGGGGAGTGTGGAGGTGTAACGGCTTTGTATTGCATAGCTTGAATCAGCCCCAAGTATTGTGGAGGTAGTGGAGAGGGGGAGGAGCGTGCCTGCGTCACGAAGGACCGTGTGTGTGGCTCCACTGTCAAGTATGAATTCAAGGGGCTGAGAGGAGGAGGAGGACACGGGGTACTGGAATGAGGACTCACTAATAACATTGGCATACATAGGATCATCATAAGTGCTAGTAGTAGAGACATGGCCTACGAAGCCTGTAGTAGAAGGAAACAGTGTGACGCCGGGGGGGTGAGAGGAGGAGGGGGTCTGGTCAGCAGTTGCAGCAGTTAAAGCAGTTGCAGCAGTTCCATGGCCATGCACAGATGGGGGGAAGGGAGGGTAGGGCCAGCCAGCGTAAGAAGGAGGATAGGGGGAGAGAGGCGGATAGGGGGGGAGGGGTTTGAGGTGTGAGGGTGAGTGGAGGCGAAGGGGTGAGGGTGGGGGTCGTGGAGGTGGTGGTGGGTGTGGGGAGGAGGTGTTGGACTTGCTGGAGGACGTGAGGGGAGAGGTGCTGGGCGAGGACATTATGGAGGTTAGGGGAGATGGTGCATGGGCGGGGAGGGTGCGAACGTCATGAGGGGTGGGGCGAGGGGTGATAGTGCTCCAGCGTGGAGGAGGGCCTATGTTGCCGCGTGCAAGCCATTCGTCAGCGAGGGCTTTGAAGCACGTATCAGTGGGATGGGTGGTCTGGTTGCAGGTCTGACCTTTGTTGGGGCCTTGGCAAATGACATACTGGCACGGAGGGAGCCCACCCGTGGTTGAAGTTGTTGCCCCACGTCCGCCACATTCCCCAGTGCGCCCTCCTCGTCCACCTCCGCGACCGCCTCCACTTCCATCACTGCCCGAGCCACGTCCAGGTCCGCCGCCGCTGCTTCCGCCGGTGTTAGTGGTTCTTTTGCGCGCATGAACGGTATTGATGGAGGCAGATTCATGCAGGAGGTCAGCCTCACTGTCAAGGTGCCAGTCGATGGTAACAGCCACAGGAGGAGGACGGATGTGCTGGGAGGTGAAATTGATGTGGTAAATGTCATAGGTGGTGGGAGGCAGTCAAGGATGCGTGCTGTGAGGAGGGTGTCGGAGATCAAGATGCCACGATCATTGAGACGTTGTGCAGTGTCCGTGAGGCGTCGAGCGAAGGAAGCAGCGTTGAGGGAGGAGTCTAGTGTGATGTCTTGGAAGGTGCGAAAGAGGGAGAGGAGGGAGCGTAAGTCCTGGCGATCATATTGGGAGGAGAGAGACTTCCAGAGGGAGGGGGAGGATGGAGGGCGAAAGCCACGCTTGAGAGAGGAGGGAACACATGAGAAGATGATAGTAAGTGCATGACTGTTAGCAATGCGCCATGCAGCTGATTCTGAGTGGTGCTTACGGAGTTTAGCAGAGTACTCTTCGAATGTGGCTTTAAATTCTGCAAGTTTTGCAGTGGCAGCTTCGTGATCGGCGACGGTAGCCGCGTGTGCTCTTCTTTTGATGTCATAGTCGTCCCGCTCCTTGTTGTATTTGTTGAGGGTGCGAGCCCACCTGTCCGGAACATCCTCCCAAGCTCCTAGGATAGGGGCTTTGGTGGCGGGTTCGGTCGGGAGTGGTGGGGCGTCAGGGGGGGAGGAGCCTGGGAGTGGGGGCGGAGTGGGGGGAAGGCCATTAGGTGTTTCGAGGACGACGTCGAGGAGGCATAATCTCCCACTCGAACGGAGCCAAGGTACGTGTAGAGGCTCTCCTCAAACGACACCCAATTGACTGCGGTGGTGCCGTTGAGGAGCTCGAGCTTGTCGATGGAGGCAAGCTCGTGCGAGGTTGATTCGTCGGCCATGATAGGAGGAGGAGAAGGGAGGGAGGGCAGGTGGACGACATCGGCTTGAAGGACGGAGCGGTCCGGCTGCTCCGCGTATGATAACAGCAAACCCTAATTATGCCGTGGCGTCCGCGGCTGACGGGCGCCTCCGCGGCGTCTGCGGCTGGCGGATGCACCCGCGATAGAGATGTCGCGTGATAATGGCAGAGCCGTTAGGAGGTGCACCGAGGTGGCGCGAGAGGCACGGCAGAGCCGGCGGGAGGTGAGAACGCCGAGGGGCATGAAGGCACGGTGATATCGTGCTAGGCGCGGGAGAAAGGTGTGGTCCTAGGATCTTGAGCGGCGCTGGCCGTAAGAGCTCTGATAGCATGTTAGAATTGAACCGATGGCTTGATTAGGAATCATGAGGGTTTATATAGTTGGTTGGGTACCTAGTCAACATTATTGGAGCAAGGTTGGGTTCCAACCCCCAACTAGGGTTAACCGTAGTTGTGCACCCAAACATAGTTTGGGTGCCTATCTCTATCCTAGGGTTTATAGGATCAATGCAAGATACAGAAGAGTAGTATAATCTAACACTTACCCACCCTCCCTCCCACCCTCTCCCACACCTTCTCCCACACCTTCTCCCACACCTTCTCCCGGAACCCTCTTTCCCCCTCCTCCCGCACCTCCTTCACCCCCTCCCCCCAACCTCTCCCCCCACCCTCTCTCCCCACCCTCTTCCCCCACCCTCTCCCCCCACCCTCTCCCCACCCTCTTCCCCCACCCTCTCCCCCCACTGTCGCCCCCCAGGCGTTAGGGGACAAGGCAGGGGTGTTGCGGTGGTGGGACGTGGCGTCGGGGGCAGCAGGCACACACGCACTCAACCGAGGGGCCATTCGACGGCTCAGATTCGCCCCCACCCTCGTCAACTCGAGCAGCTGCGGTCGGATCGCCGTCATGTTCAACGACTACACCTTCGCCCTCTTTGACCTGGTCAGCCCTCTTTGACCTGGTCAGCCCTCTTTGACCTGGTCAGCCCTCTTTGACCTGGTCAGTCCTCTTTGACCTGGTCAGCCCTCTTTGATCTGGTCAGCCCGCTAATCCTTTGTGTAAGTTATTACATAGCCACATGGGTGGGTGTACGGCTGGTTGAATTTGCCCCATGTACTGTAGGTAGACCAGCTCAGCTTGGGTTCGCCAACTCAGCTGACCTGCCAAAGCTGCCTACACACACTTGGCCAGTGCCTTACTCTACGGGTGCCACCTCATCTACCATCCGTGCTGCATCCACCATGTTATCGCTTCCTGGAACGCAGAGGACTGTATCCCTGCTTTCGCATTCAACAGAAGAGCATCGCCTCCATCTTTGCGCGGCCTCCATCACCCCACCCTCGTTCATCCACCATCAACTTCATCCTGCATTGCAAGACAAGAGCCCACAACACCCGCTCAAACCAACCCTCCACAACCACACCCAAAACCATATCCCCTCGTCCACCCCGCCGTGCAGGACGAGGGTGAGTTTGTGGCGGGGGCGATGCCGTCAGAAACAGCGGCGTGCCTGCAGGTGTTGGAGATGGACTGGCTGCCTCTGCAGGGGCCCTCCGCTGTGGGGCCCTCTGCCGCCCGCCAGCTGCTGTGCGTGGCGGCGGCTGACGGCACGGTGCGCCTGCTCGACATGGCCACGTGAGTATGAGGGGGGAGTGGATGGGGGGGAGTGGATGGGGGGAGTGGACGGGGGGGAGATGTTGGCACGGATGGTCCAACGGAATGGAGGGTCGTGGATATGGCATGGCATGTTTCCCCCATTGTCCTTTCCACGCATTGCCTTGCCCTCTCTCCATTGCCCTCCCCCCATCGCCGTCCCCCCATTGCCTTTCCTTCATCTCCCTCTCCCCGTTCACCTTCATCCCACCCCCATGACCCTCAGCAACGCGCCACTGAAGCAGCCATTCTACCGCCCGCTGGCCTCGCGCCTGGCGGTGTGGCATCGCTTCCGCCCTTCGCCGCTCTGCTCCGTCGCCCTCATGCCCGCGCCCTGCGCTCTGGTGCGTGCTGCCCTGCGCTCTGGTGCGTGCTGCCCTGCGCTCTGGTGCGTGCTGCCCTGCGCTCTGGTGCGCGCTGCCCTGCGCTCTGGTGCGTGCTGCCCTGCGCTCTGGTGCGTGCTGCCCTGCGCTCTGGTGCGTGCTGCCCTGCGCTCTGGTGCGTGCTGCCCTGCGCTCTGGTGCGTGCTGCCCTGCGCTCTGGTGCGTGCTGCCCTGCGCTCTGGTGCGTGCTGCCCTGCGCTCTGGTGCGTGCTGCCCTGCGCTCTGGTGCGTGCTGCCCTGCGCTCTGGTGCGTGCTGCCCTGCGCTCTGGTGCGTGCTGCCCTGCGCTCTGGTGCGTGCTGCCCTGCGCTCTGGTGCGTGCTGCCCTGCGCTCTGGTGCGTGCTGCCCTGCGCTCTGGTGCGTGCTGCCCTGCGCTCTGGTGCGTGCTGCCCTGCGCTCTGGTGCGTGCTGCCCTGCGCTCTGGTGCGTGCTGCCCTGCGCTCTGGTGCGTGCTGCCCTGCGCTCTGGTGCGTGCTGCCCTGCGCTCTGGTGCGTGCTGCCATGCGCTCTGGTGCGTGCTGCCCTGCGCTCTGGTGCGTGCTGCCCTGCGCTCTGGTGCGTGCTGCCCTGCGCTCTGGTGCGTGCTGCCCTGCGCTCTGGTGCGTGCTGCCCTGCGCTCTGGTGCGTGCTGCCCTGCGCTCTGGTGCGTGCTGCCCTGCCCTCTGGTGCGTGCTGCCCTGCGCTCTGGTGCGTGCTGCCCTGCGCTCTGGTGCGCGCTGCCCTGCGCTCTGGTGCGCGCTGCCCTGCGCTCTGGTGCGTGCTGCCCTGCGCTCTGGTGCGGGCTGCCCTGCGCTCTGGTGCGTGCTGCCCTGCGCTCTGGTGCGTGCTGCCCTGCGCTCTGGTGCGCGCTGCCCTGCGCTCTGGTGCGCGCTGCCCTGCGCTCTGGTGCGTGCTGCCCTGCGCTCTGGTGCGCGCTGCCCTGCGCTCTGGTGCGTGCTGCCCTGCGCTCTGGTGCGTGCTGCCCTGCGCTCTGGTGCGTGCTGCCCTGCGCTCTGGTGCGTGCTGCCCTGCGCTCTGGTGCGTGCTGCCCTGCGCTCTGGTGCGTGCTGCCCTGCGCTCTGGTGCGTGCTGCCCTGCGCTCTGGTGCGTGCTGCCCTGCGCTCTGGTGCGTGCTGCCCTGCGCTCTGGTGCGTGCTGCCCTGCGCTCTGGTGCGTGCTGCCCTGCGCTCTGGTGCGTGCTGCCCTGCGCTCTGGTGCGTGCTGCCCTGCGCTCTGGTGCGTGCTGCCCTGCGCTCTGGTGCGTGCTGCCCTGCGCTCTGGTGCGTGCTGCCCTGCGCTGCTGTGTGCCCTGAGGCCCTTGCGTAGGATGATGAGCCATGAGGAACGAACTCGATGCCTGAGGAGGTCATTCACTGAAGATGGTGTGGTGAACACGCAATGCATGTGTGGGGATTCAGAAGAGCAAGAGTTGGGTTAACCCACCCACCATCGAGATGAGATCAGCTGCAACCTGCAATTCACACTAGGCTGATATCTATGGCCTAGATGTCTTGAGCCTGCCATCACACCCTATGGCCTAGATGTCTTGAGCCTGCCATCATACCCTATGGCCTAGATGTCTTGAGCCTGCCATCACACCCTATGGCCTAGATGTCTTGAGCCTGCCATCACACCCTATGGCCTAGATGTCTTGAGCCTGCCATCATACCCTATGGCCTAGATGTCTTGAGCCTGCCATCACACCCTATGGCCTAGATGTCTTGAGCCTGCCATCACACCACACCCTTCCACTGCCCTTCCCCTTGCTCTCCTGGTTCTTTCCACCACTTGTCTGCCAGTCCCCACTCGCCCAGTCACCACCCCCCACTCGCCCACTCACTCCCCACCTCTCCCCACTCGCCCACTCACCCCTCCCCACTCGCCCACTCACCCCTCCCCACTCGCCCACTCACCCCTCCCCACTCGCCCACTCACCCCTCCCCACTCGCCCACTCACCCCTCTCCCATTCGCCCACTCACCCCTCCCCACTCGCCCACTCACCCCTCCCCACTCGCCCACTCACCCCTCCCCACTCGCCCACTCACCCCTCCCCACTCGCCCACTCACCCCTCCCCACTCGCCCACTCACCCCTCCCCACTCGCCCACTCACCACCTCTCCCCACTCGCCCACTCACCCCTCCCCACTCGCCCACTCACCCCTCCCCACTCGCCCACTCACCCCTCCCCACTCGCCCACTCACCCTCCCCACTCGCCCACTCACACCTCCCCACTCGCCCACTCACCTCTCCCCACTCGCCCACTCACCCCTCCCCACTCGCCCACTCACCCCTCCCCACTCGCCCACTCACCCCTCCCCACTCGCCCACTCACCCCTCCCCACTCGCCCACTCACCCCTCCCCACTCGCCCACTCACCCCTCCCCACTCGCCCACTCACCCCTCCCCACTCGCCCACTCACCCCTCCCCACTCGCCCACTCACCCCTCCCCACTCGCCCACTCACCCCTCCCCACTCGCCCACTCACCCCTCCCCACTCGCCCACTCACCTCTCCCCACTCGCCCACTCACCCCTCCCCACTCGCCCACTCACCCCTCCCCTCTCGCCCACTCACCCCTCCCCACTCGCCCACTCACCCCTCCCCACTCGCCCACTCACCCCTCCCCACTCGCCCACTCACCCCTCCCCACTCGCCCACTCACCCCTCCCCACTCGCCCACTCACCCCTCCCCACTGCACGGCCCCCACCTGCCAGGCGTTACGCCTGCTGCTGCAGATGGGCGTGCACCCTGCATGGCTCGAGGCACCGCTGCCCCCGGGTGCCCAGGGGGATGGGGGCGAGCTGGGCGACGCGGAGGAGGAGGCGGGTGAGGAGGGCAGGGCACGCGGTGATCTGCTGTCGTTCCTGCTGCACCGGGGGCAGCTGCCGGGCGGTGTGGGCGACCCCGCCATGGCGGAGGTGCTGCTCAAGGGGCTTCAGCCCATGCGCCTCGCAGGTGGGCCGCAAGCGGATTGCAGGTGGGTGGCAGGTGGGCGGCAGTTGGACGGCAGGTGAGTGGCAGATGGGCGGCAGATGGCGGCAGATGGGCGGCAGATGGGCGGCAGATGGGCGGCAGATGGGCGGCAGATTGGCGGCAGATGGGCGGCAGATTGGCGGCAGATGGGCGGCAGATGGGTGGGTGAGGTGAGTGGCAGGTGGCATGTAGAGTAGCAATGATGACTCAAATCTCATTGTGACCTGCATGCGCCTCATCTCACCATGCACCCTGCCGTCATCTCACCATGCACCCTGCCGTCATTCCCCCGCCCGCCCATGCACCACCATGCCTCCCCCCGGGCAGGCCAGCTGATGGGGGTGGAGGCAGCGCGGGCGTACAGCAAGGTGTGTGGGGGCGGGGTGGCGGCGCGGTGTGCGTGTGTGGCGGCGAACTACGGGGACATTCAAGAGGCGCACTTCTGGCTGCTGCTGCCGCACGCCCTGCGCCTCCTCGCCCAGGTCAATGCGCCTCCTCGCCCAGGTCAATGCGCCTCCTCGCCCAGGTCAATGTGTTGTAATTTCATATTTCATACAACATACATATGCTAGAAATAGATCTGTAGCACATTTATAAATTGGGGGGTTGTTTAGTGTACCCTCCAACCACATTTTGTGGTTGGTTGAGATTGGTCCTCAGCTCAACCAATCCCAACCAACACACATTTGTGGTTGCTTGGGCCACAAGCAAGCTCACCCATTGGCCAACTTATTGGCCAATAGGGTAAGCTTCCCTTTCATCTCTCTCTTGCTCATTGTTTGTACTAAAGGGCCTCTTGACTCGTTATTCATGTATCAATTCTAGCTTTTCAACATGGTATCATGAGCTATTGGCTCACGCCTTAATCCCTCGGTCCTTAGGCCACCCTCTCCTCCCCGTCCCTCAGACCTAGTCCTACTACGGTGCTCCCAAGCTCAGATCTACTCCTCCCGAGCTCAGATCTACTCCTCCCGAGCTCAGATCTACTCCTCCCGAGCTCAGATCTACTCCTCCCGAGCTCAGATCTACTCCTTCCAAGCTCAGATCTACTCCTCCCGAGCTCAGATCTACTCCTCCCGAGCTCAGATCTACTCCTCCCGAGCTCAGATCTACTCCTCCCGCGCCCTGATCTACTACTCCTCCCGAGCTCAGATCTACTCCTCCCGAGCTCAGATCTACTCCTCCCGAGCTCAGATCTACTCCTCCCGAGCTCAGATCTACTCCTCCCGAGCTCAGATCTACTCCTCCCGAGCTCAGATCTACTCCTCCCGAGCTCAGATCTACTCCTCCCGAGCTCAGATCTACTCCTCCTGAGCTCAGATCTACTCCTCCCGCGCCCTGATCTACTCCTCCCGAGCTCAGATCTACTCCTCCCGAGCTCAGATCTACTCCTCCCGAGCTCAGATCTACTCCTCCCGAGCTCAGATCTACTCCTCCCGAGCTCAGATCTACTCCTCCCGCGCCCTGATTTACTACTCCCGCGCCCTGATCTACTACTCCCGCGCCCTGATCTACTCCTCCCGTGCTCAGATCTGCAAGTCGCACGCCCTTGCTAGTCCGACCGCGCGCCCTGGTCGTACGTGCCCTGCCCGTCCGCGCGCCCTGCTCGTCCGCCCTTCGCGTCCGCGCCCTGCCCGTCCCTGCGCCCTGGTCGTCCGCCCTTCGCGTCCGCGCCCTGCCCGTCCGCACGCCCTGCTCGTCCGCGCCCTGCCCGTCCGCGCGCCCTGCTCGCCCGCCCTTCGCGTCCGCGCCCTACCCGTCCCCGTGCCCTGGTCGTCCGCGCCCTGCCCGCGCGCCCTGCTCGCCCGCCTTTCGCGTCCGCGCCCTGCCTGTCTCCGTGCCCTGGTCGTCCGCGCCCTGCCCGTTCGCGCGCCCTGCTCGTCCGCCCTTCGCGTCCGTGCCCTGCCCGTCCGCGCGTCCTGCTCGTCCGCCCCTCGCGTCCGCGCCCTGCCTGTCCGCGCGCCCTGCTCGTCCGCCCTTCGCGTCCGCGCCCTGCCTGTCTCCGTGCCCTGGTCGTCCGCGCCCTGCCCGTTCGCGCGCCCTGCCCGTTCGCGCGCCCTGCTCGTCCGCCCTTCGCGTCCGTGCCCTGCCCGTCCGCGCGCCCTGCTCGTCCGCCCCTCGCGTCCGCGCCCTGCCCGTCAGCGCGCCCTCCTCGTCCGCTCCCTGTCCACCTCCCTGGCATACAGCACACCTGCACGCGCATACCGCACACCTGACAGCGCATACCGCACACCTGACAGCGCACACCGCACACCTGACAGCGCATACCGCACACCTGACAGAGCATACCGCACACTTGACAGCGCATACCGCACACCTGACAGCGCATACCGCACACCTGACAGCGCATACCGCACACCTGACAGCGCATACCACACACCCGCCTGCGCATACCGTCAGCTGCTTGCGCATACCGCACACCTGACAGCGTCACAGCGCATACCGCACACCTGACAGCGCACACCGCACACCTGACAGCGCACACCACACACCTGACAGCGCATACCGCACACCTGACAGCACATACCGCACACCTGACAGAGAATACCGCACACCTGACAGCGCATACCGCACACTTGACAGCGCATACTGCACACCTAACAGCGCATACCACACGCCCGCCTGCGCATACCGTCAGCTGCTTGCGCATACCGCACACCTTCATGCCCTGCTCGCCTGCGCCCTGTCCTAACCACCCCACGCCATGCCCCACAGTGCTTCCTCCATGGCAATAGTCGCCCTGGCATGCAGCAGAAGTGGTGCCGGTGGGCATGGAGGAGGGCATAGTGGTAGCTGTGGTGGTGGTCAAGGGAGACTCGTAGGGATATCGTGGTATCAGGGGTTTGAGCGCATGCTGCAGCGCAGCAGCAGCCTTCTCTCCTCGTGAATACGTGCCTCGCTATGGCTTGACTCGGGGACTTCAGTGCAAAATCTCCACCCAAGCCCACCATGCCCCCAGTCAGCAGCAGCAGCAGCAGCAGCAGCAGCCGCAGCAGCAGCAGCAGTAATAGCAGCAGCAGCAGCAGCCGCAGCAGCAGCAGCAGCAGCCGCAGCAGCAGTAGCAGCAGCAGCAGCAGCAGCAGCAGCAACAACAGCAGCAGCAGCAGCAGCAGCAGCAGCAGTAGCAGCAGCAGCAGCAGCGGCGGCGGCAGCAACAGCAACACCAGGAGCAGCTCTGGCACCTCCTCCTCCAGCTCCAGCAGTTGCTTCACCGCCTGCAGCAGCACCTTGACCTACAACTGCAGCTGCCTCTTCCTCCTCCTCCCCCAACTTCCCAGCAGAACTCAGTTCCGCATTGTTCCACAAGCTCCGCCACTTCAAGCAATGTCCCACCTCTCTCATCCGTTGGTATTGCTGGTATGCTCAATCAAGCCACATCAGCTGCACCTGTCACATACTCCTCTAGCACTAACAAAACTGCGTTCCAGTCCTCTGTCCCTTCCTCCTCCCTCCCCTCCACTGTCGACTTTGTCCTTGACAGCGGCGCCACTGACACAGTTCTTCGCGATGCTGGCACCTTGCGCCCCCTCCCAACGCCTACCTCTCTCCTTGGAGCCAACAGTAGCTTCTCTATCCCCCGCCATAACACCTCGACTCTCGCCTGTCCACTCTTCCCCTCAGGCACTGTCACCGGTCTCCACATACCCTCTCTTCGCGCTAATCTCCTTTCTCAAACGTCCCTTCAGCAAGCCGGTATCACCACAGTCTTCCCAGGTCATGCTAACTATTGTGCTTTCTACCATTCCGCCACCGGTCAGTTCATTTCTCGCATTCCATTTTGCCCTCGCTCCCGTCTGTACACCCTTCGGGTTCCTCGCCTCCCCTCCTGTCAGGTCATCTCTCGTTCCCCCACCCACCCTCTCATCCCACCCACTCCTCTCCCTCCCACCAACCCGGACCTCCCTTCACGCATCCCCCCCTGACTCCTCCTGCTACTGTCGCTCCCTCTCCCACCCTGCCGTCCTCCTCCATCACAGGCTAGGTCACCCTAACTTCGCTACTCTACGCTCCTCTGTATCCTCCGGTCTCCTCCACGGTCTCCCCTCCTCCCTCCCTCCCCTCCCCAAATCCCCTGCCCCCCCCTGCACCGTCTGCGTTCAGAGCAAGCTCAAGCAGCAGCCGCACCGGAGCTCCCCCTCCGCTGCTGCTCAGCCACTTGATCTTGTTCACATGGACCTCTGGGGCCCCAATCCCTCTCCCACTCGCCAGGGGCATCGCTACCTGCTCGTACTCGTCGATGATCACAGTCGGTACTCGTCTGTCAGTCTCCTTCGGACGAAGGCGGATGCCCTGGCTGCGATCATAGCCTGGCTCGAGCGGGCAAACACCCATTTTGGGCGCCCTGTTCGCCGCCTTCACTCTGATGGTGGTGGTGAGTTCCTTAACAACCAAGTATCCTCGTATTGCCAGTCTCACAACATTCTTCAGACTTACACCCTCCCTCACTCCCCACAGCAGAACGGTGTGGCTGAAAGTCGTGTTCGAGAGATCACCAAAACTGCCCGGTGTCTCCTTGTCCACGCCTCCTGCCCTCCTTCTCTGTGGGGCTACGCCCTCCTTCATGCCGCCCTCCTTACTAACCATTACTCTCACCCTCTTCTCCCATCCACCACCCCCACTGATCTGTGGACAAAGAACAAGCCTGATGTCTCATCTCTTCGTGTCGGGCTCAAAGGCATATGTTCTTCTTCACCCCTCTAACCGCTCCCGTTCTATGGGAAAGCTTGCCCCTCGTACCCTTCCCTGCATCTTTCTTGGTCATAACTCCTCCTCACCTGACTACCTTTTCCTCCATCCCCCCTCAGGTCGTCTATTCCGCAGTAGGGACGTGGTCTTTGATGAGTCCACTCCCTACTACTCCTCTCCCCCATCCACTGACCCACTCCCCCTTCTCCCTCGTCCCCTTGTCTGGTCTGACACCACCCCTCCCCCACTACTTCCTCCTCCCCCCATCCTCCCTTCCCCCCCGCCACCGTCGTCCCTGTCCCACGGTGCCCCTCCCTCATCTGGTGATATAATTGACCCGGAACCCCTGTCCTCTCCCGTCTCCCCAACACATTCCTCTCCTAGTGCCCCTACCCCCCCTCCTTCACCTCCCTCGCCGCCGACTCGTCCTTCCCCCCCTCCCCGCACCGTACTTACCCGGTACCCTCATACCAGGTCACGTGACACTATCCTTGGTCCACCGCCCCTTGTTACCCTTTCTACCTCTACCCTTCCCCCTGTCTCCCCTCTCCTTCACCACTTCTTCCAGACTGTTCTGCATCAACCTCCTCCTGCAGCAGCCCCCTCTGCCACCTCTCCAGCAGCGGCGCCAGCAGCAGCGTCTGCAACGGCACCAGCAGCGGCACCAGCAGCAGGACCAGCAGCGGCACCAGCAGCAGGACCATCAACGTCACCAGCAGCAGGACCAGCAGCGGCACCAGCAGCAGGACCAGCAGCGGCACCAGCAGCAGGACCAGCAGCGGCACCAGCAGCGGCACCAGCAACGGCACCAGCAGCACCAGCAGCGGCCTCAGCAGCGGCACCAGCGGCGGGACCAGCAGCGGCACCAGCAGCGGCACCAGCAGCGGCACCAGCAGCGGCACCAGCAGCGGCACGTGCAGCGGCACCAACGGTCATCCGCTCCTTCCACACCTCCTCCTCTGAGGACTCCCATGAGGAGTTCCTTGACCTCCACCTCTGTGACCCTTCCCTTCTACCCATCACCTTCGACCTTTCTGGGACACCAGTATTCGCATTCTCCTCTGCTCCCTCCGTTTTCATCCCTACCACGTATGAGGAGGCCATGGCTTGCCCCGACGCCCCACTCTGGCTCGCCGCCATTATCAAGGAGCTGGAGGCCTTTGTCGCCAACTCCTCCTTTGTTGATGTGCCTCGCCCTCCCTCCTCTACGAACGTGGTGAAGGGGAAGTGGGTGTTTCGCGTCAAACGGCTGCAAGGAGAGCCGCCTGTCTACAAGGCTCGTTACTGCGCTAAGGGTTTCACGCAGCGGTATGGTGTTGACTTCTTCAACACCTTCTCCCCCACCGCCAAGCCTGCCACCGTTCGCGCCGTACTTGACCTCGCCGCTCGCCTCAACATGGAGATCCACTCAATGGATGTTTCCAACGCCTTCCTGCAAGGCGTGCTACGTGAACTGATCTACAGCGTCCGACCGACTTTCACCTCCCCTTCCCAGCAGACTCTGTCTGGCAGCTGCGTCGACCTGTGTATGGGCTCCGACAGGCCCCTAGGGAGTGGCATGCTAAGCTTGTCGCCACCCTTGCTGAGCTTGGCTTTCGCACCTCCCGCTCTGACGCCAGCCTCTTCCTCCGCGCCTCCTGTCAGAAATAGGCTTAGAAGCGATGCATTAGTAATGAGCTTGAAGCTCTTTAAGTACATCCAAGAGGGGTAGGAAAAGGATGGGGAAGGGAATCGGGGGCAATCTCCAATTGGTGGGTTGGAGATTGGTTGGAGATTACATTTGGGTTTGGTTGGGATGTAGGTGTACACCCAACCAAACACAATGTGCAAACTACACTACTCTAGGATATAGAAAATACAAAGTACAAATTGTGAGATTGAAGACTAACACTAACACCCCCCCATAGGCGTCAATCGAACTCAGGGTAGAGAGGGTGGAGCACAGAGCCCCATGGCGCCAAGGAGACGGTGGTGGGGAACTTTCCCAAGGGGCTTGGTGAACAGATCAGCCAGGTTGCAGTCAGATGCAACGTATTCCACTTTCAACTGCTCTTGTTGGACAAGGTCACGGATGAAGAAGTGCCGGAGTTCAATGTGCTTGGTGCGGGTGTGATACACAGGGTCTTGAGAGATGTGGATGGTACTCTGGTTGTCACACCAGAGGGTAGGGGCGGACTGTGGGAAACCAAGTTCCTGGAGGAGGAAGGTGAGCCAACGAGCCTCCTGAGCAGCCATGGTGCCTGCGTAGAGCTCTGCCTCACATGAGGAGAGGGAGACTGCAGACGACCTGGTGGAGCGCCAACTGACAATTCCGCTCCCAAGGGTGAAGCAGTACCCCTGAGAGGAGCGTCGGTCGGTCTGGTCATCAGCCCAGGAGGAGTCGGTGTAACCCTCTAGGCGAGGAGGGGAGAGCCCACCGAGTGTGAGGACGTGAGACTTGGTGCCCTGAAGATAGCGCAACACCCGCTTGGCTGCCTTCCAGTGAAGGTCAGTGAAGCGTCCAGGGGCCACGTAGCGAGAGAGGACACTGACAGGATAGGCCAGGTCTGGCCGGGTGCACATCATGGCGTACATGAGGGACCCAACAAGCTCCGGGTATGGCTCAGAGCAGGCCTCTGGTGTGGGTACCGCTGGAGCTGTGAGGAGGTGTTGCAGCGGCAGCGGGGTGGCAACAGGTGTGCATAGCTCCATCTCAAATCGCTTGAGCACATTGTCGATGTAGAACTCCTGGGAGAGTGAGATGGTGCGAGCCTTGCGATCACGAGTGATCTCCATCCCCAGGTAGTGCTTGAGGTCACCGAGGTCTTTCATCTGGAGAGCCTTGCTTAGGGCTGCCTGGACTGAGGTCATCTGGGCCGAGTCCTTGGCCACGAGGATGAAATCATCCACGTAGACTAGGATGTAGAAGGGCTCAGAATGACGGCGGATGAAGAGAGTCGGGTCAGCAGTTGAAGGGTGGAAGTCCAGGGAGAGGAGGACTTCTTTCACCTTGTTGTGCCATTCGCGAGGGGCTTGCTTAAGGCCGTAGACGGGGCGATTCAGCTTCCAGACAGTGTTGGGAGGGAAATCTCCTGGGAAGCCTTCTGGTCTGTCCATGAACACTGTCTCCTTGAGACGTCCTTGTAGGAAGGCGGATGAGGCATCCATGGATTTGATCTCGAAGTCTTCTCGAGCTGCGACATCCATGAGCGTACGAATGGTGGGAGGTTTGGATGTGGGGGAGAAGGTTAGGAAGAAGTCGCGGTACTGCTGCTGGGTGAAGCCCTTGGCTACGTAGCGCGCTTTAAACACCGGTGCCTCGTCTGGGAGCTGTTTTACACGGAACAACCACTTGCCCCCGACGATGTTGACTCCTGGAGGTGGAGTCTCGTCGTCGAAGGAGTGGTTGCGGGTGAATGCTGCAATCTCCGCGTCCATGGCAGCACGCCATTTGGCAGAATGAGGGCCTGAGAGAGCCTCTTGGACGGTGAGAGGGATAGGGATGGTCGGGTTCTCCGCGAAGTTGAGGGAGGGTGAGCCAGTGATGTCGGGGAAGATGTGTGAGAGCTGAGGAAGGACTGCATGGAGATCACACAGTTCCTCATGCCTGTCTTCTAGAAGGGTAGAGGGCACATCCCCTTCAGCAGGAGGAGGCGGTGTGATCGCGGTGTATCGAAGAACCATCGCGAGTGGAAGAGTAGCGCGATGTGAGCGAGTGCCATGAGCCACCGGGGAAGAGGGTGGGGCTGGCGGGGTCGGAGAGGGTGACTTAGCAGGCTTGGGCGGGGGAAGGGGTCGCCGGCGGTACGTGATCAGCTCGGGCGACTGTGGGAGAGCGGGTTCCTCTGTGGTGGGGGGAGCCGGGGGAGGAGGTGGGGCCGGAGGGTGGGACCGCCGATGGTAGGTGATAGGTGCGCTCGGAGGGGGCGGCGCAGCGGGAAGTGGGGAAGGTGAGGGGGAGGGAGGAGCAGCTGCCGAAGACACCGGTGAGGCCGGGTCAGTGACCTCAGAGGGAGATGGTGCGATGGCAGGAGAGGGAGGAGGTGAGGGAGCAGGAGCAGGCGGGAGGTCGGGAGGCGCATCAAAGTCTGCCCACACGAGGGAGGGTGGATCAGGGAGAGGGTCCCGTCCCGAAGGGGAGTAGAATGGGCGGGTCTCATCAAAGACAACGTCACGGCTCCTGACCAACTGGTGAGTGGAGGGATTGAGGAAGAGGTAGTCAGGTGAGTCGGCGTTGTGCCCGAGGTAGATGCACGTCTGAGTCTTGGGACCGAGCTTGCCACCGTTATGCCGTCGAGCCTGAGGGTTGAGGAGGACATAGGCGGTGCATCCCCAAACGCGAAGAGAGCGAGCAGTGGGCGTTTTCCCGAGCCAGAGTGTGGTTGGAGTGGTGTCGGGAAGGTGCGGGTGGGGGTAAAGGTTGTGGAGAAGGGCAGCGTGGTAGAGAGCGTACCCCCAAAGAGAGTGAGGAGCGTTGGAGTGGCTGAGGAGGCACCGAGTGATCTGCACCAGGGTGTGGTTGCGGCTCTCAGCTATGCCGTTCTGTTGAGGGCTGTCAGGGAGGGTGAAGTTTTGCTGGATGCCTTCGGAGGAGCAGAAGGCTTTGAGCTTGTCGTTGCAGAACTCACCCCCCCCATCCGAGTGAAGGCGCTTGACCTTGCGGTCAAAAGTGGTCTGTGCCTGCTTGACCCACGCTATGATGACCTCGGGTGCCTCAGCCTTAGTGTGGAGGAGGTGAACAGAGACATAGCGGGAGTGGTCATCCACAATGATAAGGAAGTAGCGATAGCCACCTTGTGGGAGAACAGGGGCAGGGCCCCAGACGTCCATGTGCACGAGGTCCAGTGGTGCTGCAGCGATTGTGGGTGAGGCAGCATGGGGCTGTTGGCGCAGTTTGCTCTTGGTGCAATCAAGGCACGTGGGAGCTGGTGAGTCAGGTGGTGGGGGAAGTGCGGCTGGCAGGCCGAGGAGAAGTTTCTTGGAGGCCATGTCAGCAAGAGTGCGGAAATTTGGGTGCCCGAGCCGATGGTGGTAGAGGATGGTCGGGTTGGAGAGGGTGCGACATGAGCATGGTGTGATAGTGGCCTGTGCTTGGGTGGTTGACACCTGTGGGAGAGGGACGCGTAGCGTGTAGAGGCCGTTGCTGTTGAGGGTGTAGCGGGCCAGAGTTTTGTTGGTGCGTGGATCGATGATGTCGCAATAGTCCTCGTTCTCTGGGAAGATGGTGCGTAGCCCTGCCTCCTGAATTTCTGTTTGGGCAACTAGATTGTGACGCAGTGAAGGCACGCACATGCCAGTGACAGTGCCGGATGGGAAGGCGGGGCATGGGACTGTGGAGGTACCCTTGGCGAGGGTGGTGAAGCTTGAGTCAGCTCCTAAGAGAGGGATAGGTGTTGGGTAAGGTTTGAAGGAGAGGGTCTCCTTGAGCACGGTGTGAGTGGCCCCGCTATCGAGTGTGAACTCTATGTATTGTGGTGCGTGTGATGAGCCGATGTACTGTGAGGTAGCTTCATTAATCATGGCAGTGCCAGGGAACAACAGGTTGATACGCACATCAGCAGGAGCAGCATCACTAGCACTAGTCGAAGCGGGGTCCTGGACCTCAACTAGGTTGGCCTTGCGAGAGCGCATCCAATTCGGCGGCTTCTTGTCCACTCCGTGAATGGCGTACCATTCGTCGTCTTTCTTCTTGAAGCACGTGGCGAGGGGGTGGTTAGTGCCACCACACACTTGTCCCTTGCGATTCCCATACTTGACGACGTAGGGGCACGGAGGAAAGCGGTTGCGCTGGAAGGGCGCCGAGGCGAGAGCCGCTGCGACACTTGCTTGAGGCATGGGAGCGCGGATAGCGTACGCCTTGGCCTGAGCCGTGGAGTCTTTCTCGGCAGAGAGGAGTGCGGTGGAGACCTTAGCAAAGGTGAGGTCCTCTGCTGAGAGTGTGAGGAGCATCTTCCTCGTGACCTCATATGCCGAGGTGAGTCCAACAAGTAGGGCGGCTGCAGGGGCTTGCTCGGGGAAGACTATACCCAGCTCCTTGAGTTCGCCATGAATGGTCTGCACCTTGGCAATGTAATCGGCCATTCCCGAGCAGTCCTCAAGGCGGACCTGAAACATGCTAGGGATGAGAATGGCCACGCCGACCGCCGTCTTGTTCATGAACCGATCCTGGAGGTACTTCCAGATGGCGTTGGAGGTAGGGTAGTTATGGAACGTGTTGACAAGTTCGGGAGGGGTGGAGGCGATGAAGACGCTGATGATGGCAGCATCGGCCTTCTCCCATTTCCGGTACTTCTCAACAGCCTCCTCGTACGCCCTCACGTCAGTATCACTTGGAGATTCGGTCGGCTCACGGGGAATAGTAGGCTGTTTCCCCTTGCCACGGTTGAGGAGGACGTCCTTGAGGTCAAGGCCCTGCACGTCACGGCTCAGGAGGTGCTTGTCAACTCCGTAGCTCCACGCCTTGAAGTTGGAGCTAGAGCCATCAGCTTCAAGGCGGAGCGGGGTGATGGGGTTCGCCATTTCATGAGCCCCGTCATTTCTTCATTCGCGATCTTGTTCAGGCGGGGCACCTTCGGCTCGACAAGGTTGACTCGGCGGCCAATCTTGCCAACATCTTCACAAAAGCTCTTCCTCATGTCGCTCACTCTTTCCTACTTCGTCTTCTTGGCCTCACTCCTCCTAAGTCGCCTCCCGCCTCTTGATTCTAGCCTTCTAGCCTTATGCATGTTGGGGGGTTGTGTTGTAATTTCATATTTCATACAACATACATATGCTAGAAATAGATCTATAGCACATTTATAAATTGGGGGGTTGTTTAGTGTACCCTCCAACCACATTTTGTGGTTGGTTGAGATTGGTCCTCAGCTCAACCAATCCCAACCAACACACATTTGTGGTTGCTTGGGCCACAAGCAAGCTCACCCATTGGCCAACTTATTGGCCAATAGGGTAAGCTTCCCTCTCATCTCTCTCTTGCTCATTGTTTGTACTAAAGGGCCTCTTGGCTCATTATTCATGTATCAATTCTAGCTTTTCAACACAATACACCTCAACCCTCCATCACAACCCCCCTTCCATCGCACTCCCTACTTTCCATGTCACCGCGGTAACGGTTCTTTGCAAGAGGTAGCGGAACTGCATCCTGCCCCCGCGCCCCCTCATGAGTCGGCCTGCACCCCATCCTCCGCAACCCATCCTCCGCTCTGCCTATCTCGCCCGCTCTGCCTCCCTGCCATCACTTGCCTGCCTCGCCTCCCAAGGGTCACCTCACAGCCCCTCGTGTGCTCGTCCTCCCCCTTCCCTCCTTTCTTCCAGAAACCACTCCTCCTCAACAGCGTCTGTTCTTCCCGCCTCCTCCCATCCCTGCCCTCTACCTCTGCTGCCCGTCCCGCCCATGCAGGGTTCAGCGGGGCCACACGCCTTCTGGCCGCCCGACACACCTGCCACCCATGGCACCACACCTGCCACCCATGGCACCACCCATGGCACCACCCATGGCACCACCCATGGCACCACCACCACCACCCCCACCCCCACCACCACCACCCATGACGCTGGCAGTGGGGGCAGTGGTGCTGGTGGCTCATGGGGCCCGGCTGGTGATGAGGCGGAGAGAGAAGCAGGGGGAAGTGGAGCGGGGGACGATGAGCAGCGCAGTGCAGAGAGTAATAAGGCTTCTGCGCATGAGCAAGGAGAGGAGAAGCCGCAGCAGCAGCAGCAGCAGCAGCAGCGGCAGGAGCAGCAGTGGAAGAGAGGCCTCGCCCTCGCCCTCGCCCTTGACGTATGCCAGCCTGCTCAACCATCCCCTTGCCCTCCATCCACCCCCCCACTTTAACCTCTTCCATGTCACGCCCTCCTCATGTCGCCCTCCTCATGTCGCCCTCCTCATGTCGCCCTCCTCATGTCGCCCTCCTCATGTCGCCCTGCTCCCCACCCCTTCACTCCCCCATGCCGTCGTTCTCCTCCCCTCGCCCTCATCCTGACCTCCTGACGTCCTCACCCCCCTTTCACTCCCTCACCCGCCCCTCATTCCCGCCAGGCAGCAGCAGGGGCGGGCGGAGAGGGGTATGGGGAGGAGGCGGTGGGGGAGGAGGTGGAGGTGTGGGGGGACGAGATGGGCGTGCGGCGCATGGCACTTGAGCGCATCCACTGGCACAGCCAGGTCACCGGCGCTGATGCCGCCTCCAAGCGCGTGCACGAGTGAGTCACGCCGTGACTTGTGACTCCAACCAACACTTGTGTCTAATGGCTGAAGTGACTTGTGACTCCAACCAACACTTGTGTCTAATGGCTGAAGTGACTTGTGACTCCAACCAACACTTGTGTCTAATGGCTGAAGTGACTTGTGACTCCAACCAACACTTGTGTCTAATGGCTGAAGTGACTTGTGACTCCAACCAACACTTGTGTCTAATGGCTGAAGTGACTTGTGACTCCAACCAACACTCACCCCTCCACCAGCACAGCCACGCAGCTGCCATGTGCTAATGCCACCAGCAAGAGATGGCACGAGTGCGTAAGGAGGATGAGGGATGAGTGCGTAAGCAGGTGTGGATGAGGGCGCATGGCAGTGGGCTGTACATGAGGCGGTCACCAATGAACGGGCCATTTGCACGGTCCGAAGCCACTTGGCACGGTCCGAAGCCACTTGGCACGGGTCGCATTGTTACGAACCAGGAACCTAAAGATCAGGGCGTTGAGGTTTGTAGGCTTAATGTGTGCTCACAACAATGTGAACTGTGATTCGCTCACGCTGGGTGACGGAGTTATGAACTGAGAGGGGAGGAGGGGAGAGAGGTGTCACACTAAGTTACCTGTTGTGGTTCGTGACATTGACTGCTTCGTGCCACACCTCATGCCAACTTTGCCTTGGCCGGCCTCTCGCTTTCATGCCGCGTCGCCCCAATCATTCCCTGCCATTGCGTCGCCCCAATCATTCCCTGCCATTGCGTCGCCCCAATCATTCCCTGCCATTGCGTCGCCCCAATCATTCCCTGCCTGCCCTCCTCTCCACCCCACCCCCACCTGTACCCCCCTGTCCGGTGCTTGGGCGGGCAGGTTCATCATGGTGGGCGATCTGGAGGCGGCTGTCACGCTGCTGCTCGCCACGCCCTTCGACTCGCCCGCCTTCCACCGCGACGCCCTGCGCGCCGTGGCGCTCGCCACTGCTGTCTCGCCCTCCATGCACCACCTGGCTGCCAAGGCAAGCTGCCCTCCATGCACCACCTGGCTGCCAAGGCAAGCTGCCCTCCATGCACCACCTGGCTGCCAAGGCAAGCTGCCCTCCATGCACCACCTGGCTGCCAAGGCAAGCTGCCCTCCATGCACCACCTGGCTGCCAAGGCAAGCTGCCCTCCATGCACCACCTGGCTGCCAAGGCAAGCTGCCCTCCATGCACCACCTGGCTGCCAAGGCAAGCTGCCCTCCATGCACCACCTGGCTGCCAAGGCAAGCTGCCCTCCATGCACCACCTGAGTGCTATCTCAGCCCATTTTCTCTCTCCTCTCGTTTCCCACTCTACCCCCTTTTTGTTTTCACTCCTCATTTCCCTCTCTCCTCTCATTTCCATCTCTGCCCACCACACACCCTCACTGCAACCGGCGGCACTGCTGGGAGGGGGGCCACGGGTGTGGGGCCACGGGTGTGGGGCCACGGGTGTGGGGCCACGGATGGGCGGCTCGCAGGTGGTGGCGACGAACATGGTGCTGGCGGGGGAGCCGCTCACAGCCGTGCATCTGCTCTGCTCCATCGCCCAGTATGCTGACGCCTGCACGCAGGTGTGGATGCATTTAGGTGTGCATGTGGGTATGTGTGCATGCGGGTATGTGTACATGCGGGTATGTGTGCATGCGGGTATGTGTGCATGCGGGTATGTGTGCATGCGGGTATGTGTGCATGCGGGTATGTGTGCATGCGGGTATGTGTGCATGCGGGTATGTGTGCATGCGGGTATGTGTGCATGCGGGTATGTGTGCATGCGGGTATGTGTGCATGCGGGTATGTGTGCATGCGGGTATGTGTGCATGCGGGTATGTGTGCATGCGGGTATGTGTGCATGCGGGTATGTGTGCATGCGGGTATGTGTGCATGCGGGTATGTGTGCATGCGGGTATGTGTGCATGCGGGTATGTGTGCATGCGGGTATGTGTGCATGCGGGTATGTGTGCATGCGGGTATGTGTGCATGCGGGTATGTGTGCATGCGGGTATGTGTGCATGCGGGTATGTGTGCATGCGGGTATGTGTGCATGCGGGTATGTGTGCATGCGGGTATGTGTGCATGCGGGTATGTGTGCATGCGGGTATGTGTGCATGCGGGTATGTGTGCATGCGGGTATGTGTGCATGCGGGTATGTGTGCATGCGGGTATGTGTGCATGCGGGTATGTGTGCATGCGGGTATGTGTGCATGCGGGTATGTGTGCATGCGGGTATGTGTGCATGCGGGTATGTGTCCATGCGGGTCTGTGTGCATGCGGGTATGTGTGCATCATCTCCATCATCTCCAACATCCCTGTTATCCCCATCCCCATCACCCCACCCCCTCCCATCAGCTGCAAGCCATCGGTCGGTGGGTGGATGCATCAACGCTCGCAGCTTGCCACCTGTCAGGCGCTGATAGGGCCAAGTACGGTCCAACTGTTTACTCGCTCCTGTAGTTGTGTGCCCTCCTTATGCCATCATCACACCATCATCATGCCATCATCATGCCATCATCACACCATGATAATGCCATCATTGAACATTCTTTGTTTAACATGTTGTCACTGTGTATGTCCTCATCACGCTGCTTATCCAATAGCTTGCCACCGCATGTCCCTCCACCCCATGGGCTGGCATGCCACAGGGTGCTGCATCGATGGGCGCAGCACACCCTCAAGAACGAGCATGACCTGTGGCGGTGAGTGCTGGGGTGTGGCCGTGAGCGCTGGGGTGTGGCCGTGAGCGGTGGGGTGTGGTGGTGAGCGGTGGGTTTTGGCCGTTAGGCACGCTTGAATCTCGTGTGGTGCGGTGTGGTAATGTGTGTGAAATGTGGTGTGTCGTCCGAGCCTCGTACCCTTCCCATCTTCTCTCCACGTGTGGAACCCATCTTTCTACACGCTTCCATATCACAGCCATCTCATTGCCACATACCGCCCTCCCCTACTGCCCACTCTCCCCTCTTCCCTATCCCTACCCCCTCCCCCGAGTCCATAGTGCGGTAACGCTGTTTGTGGCGGCGGGCAGTCTAACAGCAGCGCTGAGGGCGCTGAGGGAGGCACACCAGCCCGACACGGCCATGATGCTGCTCCTCGCCTGCCACCATGCCCACGCCCGCCTCGCTGCGCCCCCACGCCACCTCGCTGCCACCACCACTGCGGCCGTGGCCATCGGACGGCACCTGCCGGCCGTGTCTGCTGAAGAGGGGGGTATGGGCGGGAAGCATGGTCAGGTGGGGGAGGGTGGAAGCGAAGGAGGGGAAAGGGAGGGAGGAGGGGAGGAAAGTAAGGGACGGGAAGGAGGGGAGGGAGGGGAGGGATGGAGGGGGGAGGAGGGACGGGAAGGAGTGGATGGGCCGCTGTGGCTACCTGGTGACTTGAGGACGCATGGGGAGGAGGAGGTGCAGGTGGTGTGTGGGCTCTTCTCTCAGCACCAGCGCTGGCTCGCTCACCTCTGTGCCCCTCATGGCTCCGACTGAGGCCTTGTCCACTCCACGGCCCCTCATGCTGGTCCCATCGGCAGTTCGCAATACTGCATAATGAAAAAGCTTTGTAGATTGCTGAAAGCACCTAGTATCAAAGAACCGTCTTGCTCGGATGGTCGACATATATATGTATATCGTATACTGCATTGGAAGATGGGTGTCAATCTTGTCAACGGAAAGTTTGTAGAGTCTTATCATTCTTACATACCAGAACCTTAAACATTAAATGCATCAAAAGGTTCCTCGCACCAGGGGCTATTTTTGGTTTTAACGGGCCCTTAAAACCCGTAGGCAAAATAGTGACTCCCCCTTCTAGTTGGGTCCACTAGAAATCTGAAACATACTTTGTGTTGTTTTGAAAAGTTGAAGTGCTGACTTGTGATTATTTTTTCCCCCGTCTGTCATTTCAATTTCCATACCGTAGGCATCGCAAGCATGTGCAAATGTGTCGCATTGTTGCGACATGCAATTCTCATTGTGCAAGAGAGACAATTTCACATCGAGTGGTAGCATGTGCAATTCACACAGAACAACTGCCATGGGAAAAAAAACATACGGTACACGGGAAAAAAAGTAGAGTTCCAAGGTGAAGGGAAGGGACGAGAGGGAAGAGCACGAGGGCGACGGGGCGAGAGCGGAAACGAGAAGGACGGGAAGAAGGGGGAAAAATGAGGGTGACGGGACGAGCGGGGACACGAAGGGGGCGGGATTAAGCGGGGGAAATGTAGGCGACGGGACGACGGAAAACGTGAGGAGGGCGACGGGATGGGAGGTGAGAGATGAAAAGAAGATGAGAGGGCATTTCGTGGCGAGCTCGAGGCCGGCGAGATGGGTGATGGGAGGGAGAGAGGCAGGGCCCGATTGGGCGTTTCAGGGCGAGCGCGAAGGCGACGGGAAGTGAGATCACGAGGGCGACGGGAAGGCATGGGATGGGCGAGGGTGAAAGCGCGGGAGCGAGCGGGAGGGAGAAAAGGCACGAGGGCGACGGGACGGGACGGAAGTGGGTGGAGAAAGTGGGTGGGGGATGGGAGGGCGTTTCGTGGCGAGCGGGAAGGCGATGGGGTGGGGGATGGGGGGTGTGAGAGGACGCGTGCATCGAGGGCGACCAGAAGGGAGCGGCGAGAGAGAGAGCGACGGGAAGGGAGCGACGAGAGAAAGAGCGACAGGAAGGGAGCAACGAGAGAAAGGACAAGGGATGGGAAGGGAAAGGACAAGGGCGACTGAACTGGACGGGAAAGGACGAGGGCGACTTGACGAGAAGGGAAATGATGGCAGGGGCGGGAGGAGAGCGGAGAGAATGAGAGGGACGGGAGGAGAGCAGAGGAAGTGAGAGCGACGGGAGAGCAGAGGAAGTGAGAGCGACGGGAGAGCAGAGGAAGTGAGAGCGACGAGAGGAGAGCGGCGACAGTGCGAGCGACGAGAGGAGAGCGGCGACAGTGCGAGCGACGGGAGGAGAGCGGCGACAGTGAGAGCGACGGGAAGAGAGAAGAGAAAGTGAGAGCCAAGGGAGGCGAGCAGAGAAATCGAGATCGAGGGCCAAAGAACGTGAGAAGGGGAGGGCGACGGAATGGGAGGGTTGTAGTGAAAGGCGAGCGCGAAAGCGACGAGTGAGCGGCGATGGTAGTAAAGGCACGGTTCAAATACGCCATGGACGGGAGTTTGACAATTTCGCGCGAGATGAAAAAAATAGCATTACGCTAAGAGGCCACGCCTTACTACATTACGCACTCGAGCTAAGTTGCTAATTGCGTGCCTATGAGAAGGGCAACTAGGATTTCAGCTATTCTTAGCTAGACATAAACTAGTGACCACTGAAGTGTGAAAGAGAGATATGAACCCAGTTCCAGCTTGAAACTGAAGTTGGCCAGGCGACTCAACCCATCGCTTTACCGTAAGCCCCCGGATAGAAGCGCAGGCCTCGGATAAGCGCCGGCGCTTATAAAAGAATGAGGGCGCTTATATCCGGTCCTCGATTATAAGCGCACCCCTGAAGGCTTACGGATTATAAGCGCCACCCTCTTTTTGTTAAATATAATTTTATTGAAATTCTTGTAACGAAACACAACATTTCCATTCCCACGTTTTGAATTTCGATTACTTTCACCCTTGCTCGGCTCACTGCCAGCGCGTCCAGTCAGCTTGAGCTGTCAGGGGCGCACGCTGACTCATTCTGACTGTGTGTGTTAGCAGGGAGTCAATCCCTGCCAACTTGCACGCGAAATTCTGAATCACACACCTGTATTGTTTCGACTCGATTCAATTCGCAAGAACTAGATCTACAGTTTGGTGTAAAATCGACGAATTTCATATATGCTATTATATAAGCGCCGGCGCTTATAAAAATCCTCAATTATAAGCCCACCCCCTGAAAAAACGTGTTTTTTTATAACCCCAGGGGCGCTTCTATCCGGGGGCTGACGGTACAATGTTCGAGCGAGTGCAGCACGTAGACGTGCGACGGCTGACTTTGTTTTGGCGGGAGCGAAAAAAAATATCATTTTTGGCGATAGCCAATCACATCAATTCGATCTGAAAAGTTTGGATGATTGAAACAGTGCTTTTTCGCCCTGATATCTCTCTTTGAGAAACTCCTCAGAGCACTCTTTCAAGCTGGGTCGGGGTTCACTATTTTAGCTGCTGGCTTTAAGTATTAAGGTGCCAGGGTGACATCACCCTGACTGCCAGGATGGTTTTTCCTCCACCCTGTCCACACAAGGGTAATTTTTTTCGCACACTAATTGTGTAAGGGTGCATTTTAGAAATTGCCAATGCGCCCTACTTAGGGTGTAGCGTGCACAGTTATGGCCATACTATAACTTCTGGCCTGATAGCATCTTCCACGGTCCTCGCTAGGTTTACAAGGCACCTGATACAAACCTGGTCTGAATCGCTCAACGGAACTCGGGGTGACGCTCCCATTTTGCCAGGGCCGACGCAAGGGGGTGACGGTCGACCGAGCGTCAGGGCGGCCAACTCCCTCGCGTGACTCCGCCGCCAGGCTGGCGCGGGGCGGCACTGGTCCCCACGACCCCCGCCCCGGTCCCCCACCCCGAATTGCTACAGAACCCCACGTTACCCCCTCGGGGTGGCGAACTCGCGAGCGAGCGAGGACGGGCCTAGTAACCCCTTCACGGAGGCGGACATTCGCTTCGCGGTGCCCGCGAGGCCCTAGTAACCCTCTTTGGCTGCCCTCGCCGGGCAGGCGGGTTGGATGCGAAACTCGGGGGCCCCAACTCCAACCTCGTCAACATCGCTGGCCCCTCGGCAGGGGACACGTGGCTCGCTCTCCCACGCCGACCACCCATGCCCGGGCCAGACCACAACCCCCCCATCCCCCGAGGGCAAACTCGGTTCGGGCTGAAGCCGGAGGCTCGCCCTCGGCCAGGCCTGCGTCGCCCCAGAGCGGCCGAGTGCTGCCGGGGCACGGCCACGCCCATTTCTTGACGGGGGGTTGGACTCCAACCGTCATTTCTCCGTTCGATCTTCGCTTTCCTCATTTTTCTTGCCTAGCGCCCCCCCTCTCGTCCTAGGTTATCTTTAGCAATGGCGACCAGTAGGAATGTACTTACTGCGGCCGATTTCCCCCTCGACGTGCCTGTGGGCGACTTGGGCTACAAAGTGACGTTTGAGATGAAGGACTACGACATCCTTCGCGACGAGAAGTTGGAGTTCACAGAACGATGCTTCGACTTCGGTCTTGCGTGAGCGCCCATCCCTAGTTCACTGCGTGGACGATGGGTTGATAGCATTAGCGGGGTTGTCGCGCGTTAAGGTCGGCGTCGTCTCTAGGTCGGCGCCGACATCGCCCGCTTCCAGCGTGGTCGACGATGTCTTTCCCCGCTGGTCGACTTAGCGCACGGTAGCGTAATAGATGGGCACCACGTCGTCGTCGTCGTCGTCGTCGTCGTCGTCGCCGCCGTCGTCGTCGTCGTCGTCGCCGCCGTCGTCGTCGTCGTCGTCGCCGCCGTCGTCGTCGTCGTCGTCGTCGTCGTCGTAGTCGTCGTCGTCGCCGACGTGCAAACCCTTCGACCTTGTCGGCCTGTTGCGCTGTCGGCTTGGCGGCGAAGCTCATCGCGCAAGTGTCTCGCTCCCTCACTTCCGCCCCTGCTTGTCCCAGGTCCGAGGTCAGTCGCCTCGGAAGATTCGACAAGGTGGCGCTGATGTGCGGTGCTCGGGTTCGCGCCGCCAGGACGGCGTCGAAGCCGGACTTTCTGATTTTCGGCGCGGCCTTCGACTACGAAATCATGGCCATTCCCCTGGTCACCACGTAAGTGTTCCGCGCGGTGGGTTTTTGATCTTTGCCGACCTTATTGTTCCCGGAAAGAACCCTAAATGTCTTCGTTTTGCCTCTTGTGCCTACAGTGCCGGGCCACTTCCCGGCAGGCACTGCAGCGTCCTGCTTGTTGTGCGCCCTGGCGACCTGCTTTTGCCCGACGAGGAGGAGATCGGGACCTTCTACCGCCACCTCGACCCCAAGACCTCTTCCAAGCTGCACGAGGCTGAGGCGGCCAGTTTTTTTAGGTGGGGCTAAGTCGGCCGCTAGTCGCGCTCCTCTGTACGGGCGTTTACTCCGCCATGTCTGATGGATCTGTCCTTCTCGTTGGTGCGCAGCTTTTTCGGTGAAGCCGCGAAGGCGGAGTTGAAGAGTGAGGGAAGGGTGTGGAAGAGCAAGGCTCCATCTGCCGAAACCGTCTCCGCACGACTGGCGAGTGTAGCCACCCCCATCCGCGATGTCAGTTTCCGACTTCGATTTCGCTTTGCTGCTTGGGCTGTAGAAGTCGAGCGGTCGACTCACCATCGTCGTCGCCACGTGCTTCGTGGTTGATGCAGAAATTGCCCGACTTCCTGAGGCAGGAGGCCGCCGGCACTGGGCTGCTGGCCATCTCCGCGTTCGCCTGGTCGTTGAGCCATCTGGACCACGTGCATCGCAGCTACGATCCGCTCGTCGTCGAGAACCCGAAGCTGGTCGGCATCAAGGCGCTCCGACTCGAGTTGGTACACTACGTGGAGAAGGCCGCGATGAGCAAACGGGAGGCGTCGACCATGGGTCGTGGCGTGGGAGCCGGCATCGCTCTGGGTGGGGAGGCCGAAGAGGCTGCGGCGGGGTCGCACTCGGTCGGGCACGGGCCCAAAGATGGAGGCGAGGAGGAGCACGGGGAGGAGGACGAGGAAGGGGGCGGGGAGCAGGGCGGTGGCTCAGACGAGGAGGAGGAGGACGACGAGGAGCGCGACGACGACGACGTGATGGTCACCGGCGAAGAGGAGGCAGTGCAGTTCGCCGTTGAGAAGGTTGCGGATAAGAGCGGTGGCAGCGGACCCAAGTCGGGCAAGAAGGCGAGGGGAAGCGGTGGCTCGACCACGACTAGGATGCCGTCAATGGCGGTCTTAGAGCGTTTGAGGGCGGCGGAGAGGGAGAACAAGAAGCTGATGGAGGAGAAGGCGGTGGCGGAGAAGAGGCTGGACAACCAGATGGCGCGGATGGATGTGCTCTTCTCCTCGGTTTCTACGGATGTCAACAAGCTCTCGACGGTCGCCGACCGCGTAACTTCTCACGAGCAGACGTCGGAGAGGAGCCTCCAAGTGGCGGTGGACGCTGTGAGGGAGACCGTGTTAGAAGAACTAGGCAAGAATGAGTGCATTGAATGGAACAGTTGGGTACAAGTAGCAAACCCTAGTTGGGGTTGTACCCCATATTGGCTACCCCACTACAGCCTACCAACATATAACACATTACAATTTAACACACCCCCATAGGCAAAGTGGGGGAGAACAAAGGGTCACAAGACCAGTCCAGCAAAGCAACGCAAGCCCAGGGTGGATCACAACGTCACCACACTCTGAGCACAAGCAAAGGCCACAAGGCCAGTTCACATGCAGTGCTAGAGATAGTACAAGACAAGCAACACAGTGATCAAAACCTAGCAAGCAAGCAACAGGATATATATAAAGTACAGTACAAAGAATGTCAAGCAGTGAGCAAGTGAGGAAACGTGGACACAAGGCCTAAAGAAGTACAGTGCCGCTGATGATCACTAGGCGGGAGCGCCTTGGTGAAGATATCAGCAGTGTTGGCCTTCGAGTCCACGTACACAAGCCGAAGCTGACCGCGCTGCTGAAGCTCTCGAGCAAGAAAGTAGCGAAGAGCAATGTGCTTCGTCCTGTGCTCCAGTCTGTGCTCCTGACACAAGGCAAGAGCCGCCTTGTTGTCACCGTACAGAACTGGAGGAGAACTAGGCCGCTCTCCCAAGTCAGTCAGCAGGTAGGTGAGCCAGCGTAACTCCTGTGCAGCCATGGCTGTGGCGTAGATCTCAGCCTCACAACTAGAGCCGAGAACAGAAGAAGAGCGGGTGGACCGCCACGAGACAGAACCAGAGCCAAGGCTGAAGGTGTAACCCTGTGACGACCGCTGCGTAGCCAGGTCGTCCACCCAAGAAGCGTCCGAGTGACCAGTGAGGACAACTCTGTCGCGTCCTCCAAGCACCAGCCCCATGCCTGATGTACTGCACAAGTAACGCAGCACCCTCTTAGCAGCCTCCCAGTGCTCTCGCCTGTGTCTCCACGTAACGAGCAAGGATGCTAAGAGGGTACGCGAGGTCAGGTCGCGTGCAAGTCATCAGGTACATGAGGCAGCCTACAAGCTCTAGGTACGGGCCACTCGGCTCTACGGACTCGTCCGAAGGTGGAGCTGAGAGCGAGTGGCTGGTAGCCAGAGGTGTGGCCTGTGGTGAGGAGAACTGGAAGCCGAAGCGCTGAAGGACCTGCTGCACCATGTGTGACTGAGTCAGGGTGATGGTGCGGCGAGCTCTGTCCCGGGTGATCTGCAAGCCAAGGTAGCTACGCAGTTCACCCAGGTCAGTGCAGGTGTGTCTCTTCTGCAGCTCCGACTTCACACGAGCGAGTGCCTCAGTGTCAGCAGTAGCAAAGACCAAGTCGTCGACGTACACGAGAATGTAGAACGGCGGCAGCGACGTGTCTGTGCGCAGAAACAGCGACGGGTCAGCAGTAGACGGCGCGAACCCAAGAGCCGCAAGTGTAGTCCTCAGTGTGTCGTGCCACTTACGTGGCGCCTGGCGGAGACCGTAGACTGGTCGGCGGAGGCTCTACTGGGTACCAGGAGGAAACGACCCAGTAAAGCCAGGTGGACGGCGCAGCCAGATCTCCTCGTGCAGGCTGCCCTGCAGGAACGCTGTGCTGAAGTCAAGAGAGTGAAGTTCGTAGTCACGCTGAGTAGCAACGTGCAGCAGAACCCGAAGAGTGGTCATCTTCGGGGTGGGGGAGAAGGTCTGGAAGAAGTCGACCCCCTGACGCTGACTGAAGCCTCTAGCAACGTAACGAGCCTTGAAGACAGGCGGAGAACCTGGCGGCCGCTTCACCCTGAAAATCCACATGCCATCGACGATGTTCGCCCCAGGAGGGGGAACCTCGTCGACGTAGGTGCCTGTGGACTTCCAGGATGCCATCTCTGCGTCCATGGCTGTCTGCCACTGAGAGGAGTAGGGACCCGAGATCGCCTCTGCGTAAGTGCGCGGAGTGGGGATGTCTACTGCATCCGGGTCTCCCTCAGGGGCAAGCAACCAGGCCACGAGATGAGGTACAGCAGCCGCGAGAGAGTCAAAGTCCTCCCGCCTGTCCTCAAGGACGTCCGTGCCAAGAGCACACTCACCCCCGACGGACGGAGGACAGACAGACGCAGACTCAGACTCAGCAACAAGGCTAGTAGCGTAGTCTAGACGACAGGCAGCAGCAAAGTCAACCAACTCAGCGACCAGAGCAGACGCAGCCGAGGACTCAAAGGTAGGGTCAGTGACAACAGTAGCTAGGAGACGCGTGACAGTAGGGTGCTCAGCACGATACTGGTCAGACTCAGGGTCCGGAACGGCAGGCAAAGAGGACGCAGGAGGAGATGGTAGAGGGACACGCTGAGGAGCAGTAGATGGACGCAGAGTCATGTAGTGAGTGCCTGGGACAGGAGGAGGACGCTCACGACGGACACGACGACCAGTGCGAGCAGTACGAACAGGCGACGCAGGACGAGACTCAGGCTCACGACGCTCTGTAAGACCTCCTGTGGGACCAGTGTAAGGAGAGGGAGCAGGGAGAGGCGAGGTAGGCGGTAACTGGGACTGCGGCTGGACAGGCGGAGGACACTCTACGGAGGGAGGAGGACAAGGAGGAGGAGCCTGCCCAAGAACCTGCTGAAGGAGCGGTACGAAGTACGGTCGCGGCCGCGCAGGGTCTCCAGAAGCAGAAGAGACTCCAGCGGCCGGGTCCTCAGTACCAGCAGGAGCTCCAACGTCCGGGTCCCCAGCACCAGCAGCAGCGCCACCGCTCGGGTCCTCAGCTCCAGCAGCAGCTCCACCAGGTGGGTCCGCAGCACCAGCAGCAGCGCCACCCCCAGGGTCCGCAGCACCGCTAGGAAGAGCACCCCCAGAGTCGGCAGCTCCAACTCCGCTAGCACCGCCAGCTCCAGAGTCCCCAGCTCCAGCAGCTCCAGTCGTAGTGCTCCCAGAACAACCAGTCCCGGCAGCTCCAGTACCCCCAGTACGAGCACCCCCAGGACGAGCAGCTCCAGCACCCCCAACTCCAGCCGAGCCACTAGGACGGCGAAAGCGCCGGACGTACCAGTCACGAAGCTGCTGCGGTGTGAGAGACTGCTCAGCACCCCGAACCGGAGCACCCCCAGACGCAGCAACCCGAGGCTCCGTAGGCTCAGTAGCAGCACCCCCAGGCTCAGTACCCGCAGGCTCAACACCCCCAGACTCAGCACCCCCAGACTCCGCACACGCAGGCTCAGCACCCCCAGTCGCAGCACCCCCAGGCTCAGCACCCCAAGGCGCCGAACTCTCAGGCACAGTACCCTCAGCTCCAGCACCCGCAGTCCCAGCACTCCCAGGCCCAGCACCCGCAGGCTCAGCACCCCCAGGCTCAGCACTCCCAGCAGTACCACCTGCAGCAGCACCTGAGTCACCTGTGACCTCGACAGGCTCAGCGACGGGAGGAGGGTCTACCTGAGAGACACCTGAAGGAGCAGGACCCTGAGGGGGAAGGGGGTCTACCGGAGGGGGACCAGGAGCAAGGAAAAGCGGCGGGGGAGGGAGGGGGGCAGTGCGGTAGGGGAAGAGACGGTAAAAAGGGACCGACTCGTCAAAGGTGACGTCCTGAGAGGCGAAGACCCGGCGCGAGGTGGGGTGGTAAAACTGCCAGCCCGGCGCGTCAGGGACAAAGCCAAGGAAGACACAGGGAAGCGTGCGGGAGGAGAGCTTGTCCGCGGACGTATCGCGGACAAGGGCACGAGCACCCCACACCCGGAAGCGCGACGCATTGCCAACCTCCCCCGTCCAACGCAGTGTGGGCGAGGTCTCCGGCAAGGAGACACGGGGCCAGAGGTTGAGCTGATGTGCGGCGTACCGGACAGCAAACGGCCACAGAAAATGGGGAGCCGCCGCGTGGACCAAGGAGGTACGAGCGACCTCCATGACCAGGCCAATGCGGCGCTCAGCAACCCCATTCTGCTGTGGGGAGTCCGGAAGCGTGAAGGTCTGCTCGATGCCCTCCGCCTGACAGAAGGTCCTCAAGAGATCGGAGGAAAACTCACCACCTCTGTCAGAGTGCAGACGCAGGACAGGGAGATCCGTCCGGAAACGGCGGCGGAGCTGGAGACGAACTGTGCGGATCCAAGGGATCAGAACAGCAGGGACCTCACCCTTGGTGCGCAAGGGGAAGACCGTGGTGTAACGCGAGTAGTCGTCGACAACCAGCAAAAAGTACCGCTCACCGCCCTGGCCACGAACGCGGGCT